CTTATATCTTCTCTAAGTGCTAAGCGGGCGGGATATATGTTTAAAGAACACCAAAGACTTGAAAATTCTCAATGCTTTAAAAAGAAGTTAAAGCATAGCTCCATCAATAGAATCAAAGTTCCAAGTAATTATGCATAAAATAATGGTGTACAGTTTTGGAAAATGAAACAGATGCAAGGAGATGCTACGTTTACAAACTATTTTACAAAATCAGGAGTCTCGTTAAACATTTCTTTGCCATTAATTTTACAGGAAATCCTTTACAGTAGTTGTCATTTCATGAACAATATTATAAAGTAAAACTGTTCACAATTCAACACTTACCAAAGAAGTCTTCTTTTCTCAGTGTTTTGTACCCCTTTTATACGCCGCAATGGCTGCACGTACAGAAACTGGTCTATTTGACGCCTTTTTTAGCTTACATTTGACATAAGTCATAAGACAGATGTTATAATACATAAGTCATCAGTCATAAGACAAAACTCTTAAGACAAAATGGCACTAATGGGCTTCCGTAGAATTGTCAGCTCATTCACCAATTATTTTTAATGGGGGAAGTGCTGGAGAAAAATGGGAGATTCAATATAGTTTTACCTCCTGCCAGTTTTTACACGCGTTAATGCTATGGTCTTAAAGCTTTTTGTTCGCGCCATTTAATGGTATTTCGCGACATATAAGTTAAAATCTTTAAATAAAACTCATGACATATTTCGTCTCTTCATAAAAAATAGCTTAAATTATGTTGATTGCAGTTAAATTAATACATTATAGCGAAACTCCAATCAGGAATTTGACGCTTCTTTCATTGTTTTTTTTTAAAATATTATGGTAAGAATGTGTTGTGTTTTCATGTCTTTATTATTTATAACTTCTCTATTGAATGAAACTACATTTCAGCAAACATTACATATAGGACCGATGTCTGCCCGATATAATCTGCAATCTCGGCCCGATATCGGCATTCGAAGACGGCTCGACGTCGGATGTGCAAACAGGTTTAAAATCGGGCCGATATCGGATGCCGATATCGGTTTACCGACTTACAGCCGAATTTTTACCTACATTCATAATAAGCTTTTTTACTTTCTAACGCTTTCCTATACATAGGGGGCTTTAACATATAACAGAACAGATATTTATTCTTACATCTGCAAAATTAAACTTTCATATACATAATATATTTACACATATATACTTCAATGTTTAAGAAAATTTTTTATCACATAAACCGCGGCTCAGGAGTGTATAAAGCCATTTAATAAAAACGATATTACACTTGTGTAATAACACTTTGACGTGACGTCATTTGCGCTATATAGAAACATAGCGTTAAAGCGCGCTAATGTAAGCGTTACACAATGGGCGCGTCATTGCAAAATTACTCATTTTAACATTTTACTGTTCTTATTTTATATATGTGATAAATAGAATATTATATTCGTGTAGATTCAATACTAAATTTATTGAACTCGTTGAATAAAACAATATTATGCTCGCCTGAGGCTCGCATATGATTTTATTCAACACGTTCAATAAATTTAGTATTAAACTACACTAATTCAATATCCTCTATTTGTTAAACTGTTTCCTATAAAGTTCAGTCAAAATAAAAATGTTTGAACAAGAATACATAAGTCATGTGACTGGATGGCAAGTACAACCTTGCTATAGTAATACTATTTAGATAAGCTAAATGGCAATTTTCTTACTTGTTCCTTTGCTTTTTTTACATCTGTCTAGGTAAAGTCAAGCTGTTATCTTTGATATATTTAGTAACTGTATTTTAGATCTTGCACATTGATTCAGACTCCAGTGATCACAATTTTGAGTAAAACTTTAAAAGACTGTAGTTGACTTTTTTCACATTATCATGTTGAATAGAAGAGTAATTAAAACATCATTTTGTAATTTCAAAATGAGTTAATAATGTCAGTGTAAATTGTGTAAAAAAGTCCCTCCTGATATATATGACCTTCTTCATTTGTTTAGTTTTCTAGATGATCTTGATTTCCACCATGTCTTGATCATTTGCCAGATAACGCTATTTGCTGCTATTGATTTTCACCTCGGCGACGGTTGTTCTCTTTTTTCATTACTACATTCTGGAGCAAAAAATGAAAAGAAACCTTATAAGAACACACACATATATATATATATACATGTACTAACCAATCAAGTTACCAGCTACACTTATTGCTTGATCTATATTTAACATATATTATTTATATAAACTTATAAAGTATATATTATTTAAACAGTTTCTTTTGAAATATTTATGTTAATAAAACAGTAAAAAAAGCAACAATGAAACTTTACACAATAACTCTAAAAGCTCAAGCTAAATATTTTTTTTTCGTTATTATAGATTTTTTTTGTCTTTAAAACATATAATTACTCATTTTAAGTACTGTCTAAGACTCTGTATTGCATCAATAATTTAATTGGTCATCTTTAGCTTCCAAAATAACATTTTTCTTTCTTCAAAACCAGCTATTTCAGTTGTCAGCAGTCTGATTTAGGAATCTGTTTAATGTCATGTCAAAGACCTGCAACGAATCATTCATGTTTCAAGCATCATACAAAAAGAAAATATATCAACATAATAATATATTCACATTTTATTACCAAAGGACTAGGTTAACAGTGTCATTTTAAAAGACAAACAGCAATTGTCCTTTTCTTTTTAAGTAATCAATGAATATTTCTGAGTAAATTTTTTATTGACATCTCTATTATTATTAAAATCTTTAATAAACATGAAAAGAAAATTATAATTTGATGTTTATTCTCTCTTAGTCGTTAATTTTCAAGTAACAATTTAAAAAAAGTCGCGAAAATGTGTTACAAAATAATTATCGGCAAAGTAATTATGAAATTCACAACCTACGTTCAAAATATCAATGAAACTGAATACATTATTTACTACAACAATTAATTTATTCAATAGCAGAAGTAATTTATAAATTTACCTGAAGTTTTCGAGGAAAAATCCACTTTTTTTAGTTTTGGTTCAAACTTCATCGGATGGCAGGTGAGCTAGAAAAATACCAGTTGTGCAAATCACTTACAATAAATCGACAACAGACATGGTAGCACCGAAGTTTTTTTTTTTATAGGAAAACGACTTAATTACTCTTTACAAAAGCTCGATTTCATGCTGTAATGAATTTGAGCAGAAAATACTGTAAAACACAATTAATTGAATAATAGGAAATAAATGTTTATCGGGCCTAAATCGGACCGATATCACTGGTCTTTAACACGTTTGTCTATATCGGATATAGATGGCGGAAAGCCGACTGCAATATTCCGACATTTAGCCGATATCGGCTCGAAATAGGTATGTTTGCTAGGATATTTCTTTTAATTCACAAGAATGTAGACGCATTTGTAATCTATAATACCTGGACAAATGCTCTGGGCGCAAGAATCAGTGAATTGTAAATAGGGTCTAAATTATTGGGAGAAGGGAATATTCTTTTCTTTGATATTTCCTTTTTTGTCGAATCAATATATGGGGCTGCGGAGAATTGTTTAATACTAAGAGTCCGGTTATTTTACTGTCAGATTGTTCCTCAGTGTTTTTTTTACTATCAAGGAAATTTTGACAGGCCCAAAGTTCTTATTTTATCAGCCGTTTATTTAAAAACTGTTTTCTTTTGTCTTATGCGGAATTAAAACGGATACTAGTAGTCCACTACTGTAGAGTGGGGAAATGCGTCACGGAGGGGAGATTAGGGAATATTAAGAAACGAACAAAACAGTCCATTATTTGTTGAAAATATGTATAAAAATAGATTTGTAAACTGTGGAGCAATACCATTTTGTTTTCGAACTAGAGTGCCCCTCTCGTGAAAAAGCGATTTTCTTTTTTTATTTGGAGGGGTTTGGAGAAGGGGGGGGGGGTCGAAGAGATTTTTCAGGAAAAGCGAGAAAAAATAGTTTCCTTTAAAAGGGGGAATGGGGTCTTATTTTGAATCCAAGTTGGCCCTTAAAATACAGCTGGACATTGACTATTGGTATAATAATACACAGACAATCTTAGAAAGACCGTAACCCCTTTGGTCGTGGTCTTATCCCAAATGTTTTGTACTGAAAATATTGTCAGCACTGTTTTATATCCGCTTCATGACTTTTCACGGCTGTATACATGAAGCAGTGACATAAAGACGTGAAAAACAAAATTCATGGACTATTTTTTCTTATCTTATTTGACAACATATATACAGTACATATGAAAGTGCCGAAACATATGATTATACTTATGTACAAGGGGTCAGTTGTTATGCATGTAGAAATTTTTTAAGTATATTTAGTACTGCTGCGTGACCTTAGATTTAAATTTTTGGCCATAGTGTCAGTAACACACGTTGTAATTGTTCTAATTTAATCCACTGGATCAAAGTTGCTACATACATATGTTCATTGTTAACAAAACAGTCAATTACGGAAATCGTATAACAATGTTTTTCAGGCGTGCGTCCAAATCTGTGATTGCCTATATAAGTCCATAAAATATATTGATACTAGAATTTCGTGGAGATGGTTATATCCTGTCATATTAAACATAATATTATCAGAAATTGATGTATTAAGCCAGCTACGTAGTGCAAATTGTTCGTAGTAGAAATTGTTCGGAAGGAAATGTAGACATAATTGCGTTGATACCACCAGCATAATTTAATGGTTAGAGCTATAAAAAGAATACTGCCCAATTCCCTAAAATGGTTTTAAAGAAAAAATTCTTCGACGTATGATTCCCTTTACTGTGTTAATATGACAGTGTTACTAATACTACAAGTAGGTTTTTGTTTTATTTACAAAGATGATTATAAAAACATTTATTGTTTGGTAATTCTAATAATTACATTGATGCAAAGCTTTATACTCATTGATGATTTGTATTTGATTAAAAATATTTAAACAGTTCTCAGCTATCATCTTTTTTTATAATTGATTTCAAATTCTTGAGTTGTAAAATGTTTTATTATATATTTCAGAGCTAAAAGATGGTCTGTTTGAATTCTACAAAACAAGACACAGTAAAATTTTCCTGTCGCCTCGTTTTGAAGAGAAAGACATTCCGTTGGCTTCTTTCTATGTCAGACCGGAATTGAGCTCAAAAGAATCATTATCGGAAATGTTTAAAACTAGAAATAAGCCAAACCGAGAAATTTATGTACTCGCTGATGCTGGAATCGGAAAAACTGCATTTTCAAAGTATTTGGCAAACGTGTGGTGTCAAGCTCATTGCCTAGACGAAGATATGTATAAATTATTGTTAAAAGATGATATAGACTGTATGCATGAATTTGACTTTTTATTTTTGGTCTTATTGCGAGATACAGACGATTTATGCTCTATAGATGAGCTTATATTTGAAAAGATTGTTTCAAATTTGGGTCTTGAAGAAAAGATCCCCGAAGATGTTTTGCTTAAAATTTTGAAAAATGAGAAATGCCTAGTTATACTTGATGGACTAGATGAATGGACTCACCCCGACAAGAAATGTTACAGATCGCCACGATCGATCCCCCACAGGAATGACCGAGAAAAGTGTACAGTCTTGACTACCACGCGACCATGGAAATTAGGTGTTTTGGATCTAAATTCGTGTCAATTAGGAAAAAAGGTAGAACTTACAAAACTGTGTTATATCACGGCAGTTACACTTGCAGAAAGGATATTACAAAAATGGAAGTATCACCCGAATAAGGATTCATTAAATAGCGACGTCAGACGGTTCTTTGAAACACTCAAAAAAGGACAAAACACTGAGCTTGTTTTTGTACCCCTACTTTTGATATATACAACTTGTTTATGGTGTAATGGTGTTCAAATAGGAGATTCAATATGTGATCTGTATATGAATATAGTAGAGTTTCTCTTAAAAAGAACGATTGAGATCCAAGGGGAGCTTCAACAATTGCGTGAACCTTCTTCCAGTTACATCCCAGAATGCTTTGCAGAATATGCTAACTGTACGAAATACTACCCTTTCCTGATGCATTTAGGGAAATTAGCTTATTATACGTTATTTAGTGAAACAAAAGAAAACACACCCGTATTTGATGGATCAGTTGCTAGAAAACACCTCACACAAGACGAGACGAATTTCACACTTCACTCAGGAATGTTGTCAGAAAGTACATCTAATACACCAAAAAAAAAGTTAAGTAAAGTATCGTTTTCCAACAAAATCGTTCAGGAATTCTTCGCAGCCATATTTCTAAGTTTTCACAGTGACGCTCAGGAAATTGTTCTAGAAAAATGTAGAAATATTCAAGACATTCTGGACTTGTCAAAAATTTATACATTTATAATTGAAATGAATTCTGACCGGATGTTTGCAATATCAAATGATTTGATGTCTGTGATAAATAAAGACGAGAAAACACGCGACTATAGAACTAGGACAGGTGGCTGGGGCCAGTACGATAATCCATTGAGAAAAATACAGAGAATGTTCATGTCGTGTTTACAAAAAATGCCTGAAAGTGAAAATATTCAAATATGTGTACAAGATTTCTTCATTGACTTGTTCACCATGCGCAGTGAGCAGTTACAACGTTTGTTTAAACAAAATAAAAGCAACCTAAAATCTCTTTATATAAACACCAACGCCAGCAGTTTACGTGAAATTATAGATTTATTCTCTATCACAGATCTCAGTCATATTCAAAAACTTCACTATGAGGGTGGCATCAGGGAGAAGGAGGCTGATATAAATCGGATATTGTTTCCAAATTTACAGAACGTAACTTTGTGGAATGGTAAATGGACAAATGATGACGAAAATCTGAGTGAAAATTTGGCGCGATTACAAAACTTACAATATTTATATATTAGACGCTTCACGATATCTCACAAAATACTGGAAACATTTTTTAATTTTATATCCGGTCAAAAATCAATGAAAGAGTTAACATTGGAGTCGTTAGACTGTAAAGAACATGACGGCCATGATTGTAAGAGATTGAACTTGGACTTGTCTCAACATTCAACTCTATCAAATCTGTCAAATTTATATTTGTGGCAGTTACCTTTCAGGTTACAATTAAATATATCAACACCGTCATTAGTTAATGTTGAGTTGTGGAGAATCAATCTAGATGAAAGTTCATTGTTATTGTCACGTGACATGTTGAATATTGAATTTGTCGAGTTGTGGGGGATAGAAATGTCTGCAGGAAGTTTACAGACCTTTATTACTGTGCTGAAAAATCTGCCGCAGTCAGTAACAGTGAAGATGTACGACATAAAACCGGAAACAGAATATGAAAGTGTTAGAGAAAATATTCGGAGTTCACAAACTTTTCATGTGAAACAAGATGACGGATACTGTTGGGGGATGATTGAGTTCGTTCGAAACAAGAAAAACAAGTAAAGAATAAACATAGAAAAACATTGTAAAATGAACTGAAGAAATTACTTCAATACTTTTAAATGAAAACAATTTAATAATGGACCCTTAAAAACAAAATTGCGATTTCTTCAACGTATAGTTCGGTAATTTGTTTTACAAACATTTATTTCCGTTTAAAGTTTAATTAAATGACAGCCGTTTATAAATAAATAAAAACATATTAAGAGGAGAAATAATTTAAGGAAGTTGTTTATCGGAACTTAATGGCTTTGGATTAATTTCACAAGTAAGGGATTTTTAGTGAGTTATTTTATACTTTATATCAAGAGTATTGAAAAAGATTATTAATAGTGAATTATTTTTATGACATTTTCTCTTGATAAATAAAAAACAACATTTTTATACAATAATAGATAATTCTAATTTTAATATTTTTCATAAAGTTTTGCTTCTTAAAGTAGATTTTATACTTAAAATAAAACATTTAATTGACTAAGTCAATTCAGACACATAAAAACCACACCCTTAAGTCAATTGACAAATGGCTTTGTTACTTTGAACACTTTGTTCACCATCATGCCCCCAACATGAAGACAGGGGGAGGTAACCCTATTAAGTATTTTTGACAGAATGTTGCCCCTTTTTCAACTTAGAATTTATGTAAAAGTTTGCGTACCACCTCAAATATTTTCAAAGTCAATTGACATATGACTTTAAACCGTTGCAACAGTTGTTCACTATAATGTCCCAATCTATAGACAGGAGGAGGTAACTCTAATAAGTATTTTGACAGAATTTTGCCCCTTTGTCGACTTACAATTTATGTTTAAGTTTGCGTACCACCTCAAATATTTTCAAAGTCCATAAACATATGACTTTGAAACGTTGCACACTTGTCTATCATCATGCCACAAACCTGTAGACAGGAGGAGGTAACTCTATTAAGCATTTTGACTGATTTATAATAATTGACTGGAAATGGTTTTGTCTACAGACCGACTGACAGAAGAACCAACCGACCGATAACGTGAAGCGTCTAATATATAAATATTGTAAGTTTTGTAATCGCGCAAAATTTTTAATCAGATTAAAATTTTACCTGTTTTATCCTTCTTGTGACCCTTCCTATATTCTAAGTTTTTTAACATTAAGATAATTTTCCAAGTAAAATATATTTTGAAAAAGTTAAATCAACTTGCTTATATATATTTTCAGTTTTCCACTCTTAAAGATTTAACTTTTATTTGTTTCAAAGTAAGTTTGTGTGGTCTTAAATTCTCACATTTCCAATTAAAAAAAACAACAACAAAAACAAACAAACAAAAACAGTAATTTCTAATTACTTGAAACAAATCTAAATAGTGAACAATACCACTCTCACACGTTGTCACCTATCTCGCGTGTATATGTGTCAGTCAGGGTTAACTATATGATAACATGTAGTGTACTGATTATACAATAAAAAGTTAATTGTTATGTACAAATTCACGAAAAGAATGACAGTAAGTAAGTCATTTCTTTAATATAACCATGTACAACTTATAAACTTACTACTAGTAATATATTGAATCAATAAATGACACTGATAAGCGGCACGATTCGGGAGATGTAGTGTTCAATGCATATTTTTCGTACAAAGATATTTTGACAACATTTGTTTGGTTTTATATTAGCGTAGACTTAAATTCGCGCATTTGTCCTAGCACATAATACCTAAAAATTCATCCCACATGAACAAAAATGATTCCAGAGTAATTAAACCGTATAATGATTCTAACGAATAATACGGGTTATCTTCCTAATTTCTGAGTAATATGCCTCTGAAAAAGTCAGATTTATTTTACTCTTTAAGGTCAGATTCTGGAGCCTTAAATTTTAAAGTATTGGGGAAGTTATTGAGATATTTGTTGCTGCAATATCAACCGTCAACCTGTTACGCACATGCAAACACATTCAGTATCAGTAGTTTTAAAAGAAATATTCGATTAGTTTAAGTTCCAACATGTTTATTTTTGATAACAAAACGATATACAAGAGTAGTGTTCAATATCTATCCGAAAATATAAACAACATTTCCAGTTTTCTTACTGTACGACTAAAATTGGTCCGACAAACTAACTGTACTCGCAAATTTTGGTGTGTTTTTCTGTAACGACGGAGACTTCCTCATTTCAGTACATTCTAATTCAATATTAATGAAATATCAAGTTTTGTGTTTGTATTGTAATCATATGTAAACCACAGTGTCAATAAAACAACACTGTCAATTAATGTATTATACTACGATATAGTTAATTTAAATATACTTTCCTCACAAAGGTTACATATTAAAATTAGTTATTGCACAGGAACATGAAATTCTGTCTAAAAACCAATAGTAACGATGATATTTTATTTGTTTATTCCGTTTTATTCTATTATTTATTGCATATTTATATTATCAGAAAACACTATCTTTAATTAAAACAGCAACATACGAGAATGGATCTTCTATTGTATTACATGTATTGGCCGGAAAAAAACGCTTCTCATTTATTCTTACTTTCATTCAATACCTTGAGAAGTACATGTAATAAATTGCGTTGTTTATTTTGCATTGGGGTTCGAAATTTTATGAAAAAATACTGGTTTGATTTCCTTTATGGATTGGATGTTATATATCTTTTTAGAAAATTAAAAAAAATCGACAAGAGTCTATTAGATCACCCCTATTTATTTAATGTTATTTTAGGTCAAAGATTAAAGACATTGTGGCACTTTTATTATTCAGGCTTAAAGTAGTTCTACTTTTGCCTGCTTTCCTACTTTTTCACAAATATTCCTAATATTCCTACTTTTTGTATAAAAATGAAACTAAAAAGTGTTTATATCAATATGTAAAAGTTAGAATAAAATGTACTACAGGACTGATTGTATATACTGTTAAACTATTGTTAAGGTTCCTAAGGAGTTCTTTAACAAGATTCTGTGACCTCTTTTGCAAGCTAGTGCCTTTAAATGTGCAAGCTAGTGCCTTTCTAAATCTGTATGAACTGTTGTATGTTCTTGCTTAATTGGCAGGTTGGAGTTAAAAAAAAATAATTTTGAACTTGCATGTTGCCTTTTATGTGAATGATGTGCATTGTAGGATAATTTATATGTAAAATAAAAAATAAAAGAAAAATACATCACAAACCAGATACAGTACAAAAAACAAGACTCTTATTGTTGAAAAGGGCAACAACTTTTTGGAATGAAGATACAGTAACTTTGAACGTTGATAAGATTGAGTGATGACAAGAAACATAGTTATCTGTGATCTGAGAGAAAAAGTTACTTTTTCCAACTCCTAATTATCTCTGGTAGATATCTAATTATTAAGATTAAATTCAAATAGTAACATTTATATAGATGGTGATACGAAACGTTTGTTTAAAGTAAATCCTTAAGGAAAAAGAAGGTGTACAAATTTTTTTTTAGAAAACCGGAAACAGACGCATAAATGGAAGCTCTCTCTCTTTGTATAATCATAGAAAAATAAAAATAACAGTGATAATGAAAACATTTCGAACCGTTAACTGGATACATTTATTTTATCGCACCATAACCCCAACGTACACTTAAATATTTTGAACTGTATGCGTCTATGTTAATCGGAGCACAAAGTTGCTTGCTATTCAACTCAATAATGATTACCCTTATAGAATAAAGAAGGAAACGAAATTATCTATATTAATATAAGCTTGCTTGAAGCGAATTTATTCACCGACACAAAATCTGTTGACGTCAGTTTACCTTCAACAACTTTTTTTAATTATAAAATTTTAGCCGTTGTTATTTTTATGAAATGTGTCTCGGTCCTATTTTCTTTTTTTTTCGGTATTTAGCTCATTGGGATAGATAACGCACGTGCTTTTGGTGGGTAATTAGCGGGAGAAATCACTTTCGAGGTTAGCTACTATAAGGAAGGTTGTTTTTTGCTCAGTAAATTTTTCATATGATATGAGTTCGGCGGAAAAAACTGAACATAATGAGCCGAGTTTATCGTCTAAAAGGAGTCGACAAGAAGAAATTCGGTCAGGACAAGCTGTTTTTTCGGTCACATTAGAACACGTATGTCTCGTCAGAAAGACTTATTTCTACAAGAAATAGAATCCAGGTTCGACAATGAGAATACAAAGAAACCTGAAGAAGGTTTATTTGACTTTAAAAACGATGGTTTGAAAATTTTTGTTTAACAACGACAGGTTAGAAGCGTTCGGCAGAATTGAAATTCTTTGTTCATCTAATAGGGATGCTATTTTATCAATTGTGAGCACCGAAGCGGAAACTATCAACAAACGCAATAAGTTATTGAAGATTGCCGACGTCATGGCTGGGATACTGTACGCGAGTATTCTGATGATCCTTTGGCTGGCGATGAAGAAGACGCCGTTAAACTGCGGGGAGCAATTTCCAAGGCCAATAGGGCACGTAAATCCAAGCCTTATGACGTCAGTCAGCATAAAGTTATCTCACCGCTTCAATCAAGGTCAGCTCAGTCATTTCATGGGTCATTTCGGAACCAGTCTATTTTTCGAGGATATTCGGTCGGAAATGAACAAAGTCTCCAAAATGGTTACGGAAGAGGCGTTACGGGGAAAGGAATATCCAATGTAGCTTGCTTTGCCTGCAACCTGCCCGGCATTATGCCAGAGAGTGCCCGTTTGTGCAGATGAACACCATCAGCAAACGCCAGTTGCCAAGCACTTCAGGGGCAACAGACGTTATACAGGGAAATGACGCAAACAAGTGAAAAAGTTGAGTATTCTTTTGATTTATTGAATGGTTTGGCTTATGAAGAAAAGACAAGCGTTACATCTGTTATTTCTGTTAAAGAAAGTATTAAAAAGAACATAAATTGTTGGAGGTCAGAATTAAAAGTTAATTCTTTCATAGAAGACGTAATACACAAATGGGTACAAGATTCCTTTTGAAACTTTTTCGACGACTGTTTTTCTCAAAAATAATACTTCAGCCAAGAAATATTACTATAGATTTGTAGAAAATGCAATTGCAGATTTTGTGGCAAACATTGTGTACAAGAGGTAGAGTCAATTCCGGTTTGCGTCAATCCGTTGACAATCTCTGTAAATAGCTCGGGCAAAGAAAGGCTTATTTTAGATATGAGACATATTAATAGACATTTACATAAATTTCAAGTAAAGTTTGAAGGTTGCAAGGAAGCGCTAAATTATTGTCATGTAGGGAATTTAATGTTTAAATTTGATCTTAAGTCGGGGTATCATCACATTAACATACATGATGATTTTCAAAAATATTTAGGTTTTTCCTGGGAAAAGAACGGAAAATTTCATTTCTATGTTTTTACTGTATAACCATTTGGAATT